AAAGTTTAAAAAAAAAAAAAAAAAAAAAAAAAAAAAAAAGGAAAAGCCACTTCAAATTTTTTGGTTGTCGAGTGTTGGCAGGCAGTTTCCTTGAACAAGAGGCTGTGATGAGTAGAAATAGTAGATTTTCTGCCTCTTTTGCTGCAACATTTTGAATAGAGGAAAAGAATGGGGAAGTGAGAATTGGCAGCTTACTAAATGTTTGACACCTTGATCTAAAAGAACACTGTCATCTTACTAAATGTCTGACACCTTAGTTAGCAAATAGAAATACGTCATTGTAATATGCCACAACTTATATTACCTTTAAAATGACGTCTTTGGATTTGCTAACAAAAGTCTGTGTAGTGATATGACAAATATTTAGAAAGTATGATTATTTTCCACAATGTATATTGCAAGACGATCATTTTGGGGAAAAAAAAATCCCCATTTACTATCATTTTACTTCGTTACTATTTTTTCATATCATGTAAGATAGACATTTCAAAGATGAGCACATTATGTTTACTAATTTACACTTATGTTCAACACTTTGTCAAATCACAGTGCAATTTCTATAAAGTTAATAAATTTTCTTCTAAATTATGTCAAAACAGTTCTTTAGAATTTGTTAATAATATTACAATTCACATTTTACTTCTCATTTAATAATTTATGATTTTAGATAATGAAGGTTTCCGTTAAGGTTTCCCATATTGTATCTCGTTATGTTATTCTGCTCAATAATTTTCCTTTTAATATTTTTTCTCGTAACAAAAATAGATTCTTGAAGGAATATGAGTTGGGTATTGATCTCTTTATTGAGTTTGAAAGATGTCAAGTTAATAGGTTTGATAGAATATTGTGTCCTGATTGAAAATACAAAAACTTATTATCAAGAATCTTAAAGCAGCAAGAAATCATTTATTAGTATACAGTATAGACAAAAAATATATTTTTTAATAATATAAAATTCTATCTTACAAATGTTTCATATATTTTTCGTTTAACTTGACAAAGTATTTACAAAAATAATATTGTATGAAAGTGATAATTAATAAAAAAAAGCATAAGGGACAGGAATCTGGGCACATGGGTTTGGAACAACACACGTTTGGCTTTTGACTAAACCTACTCGCAGCATGTACAGAAGTTGGTCCACCTCACTTTTTGACATTTCATTATGCATTACTTCTTACTTCAATTACTATAATAAAAAATTTAAAGATTTCAATATTTGTATAGGATTGTACAAATCACACCCTCTCACAATGGGAGGGTCCGCATCAATTAAAAAAAAGGCACAGGCCCCTCTATTGAGAGGGGGCTATCAGCCTCCTGTACCTACATGAAGGTTGTACCTCTAGCATGGTTGAAAAATTAAAATACAATTTTTTTATTTTTTTTTTATAAAAGAATCAAAAGTAGCCACTTGATGTAATATTTGATTTTTTAAAAGTAGTTTAATATGTACATTTCAATTTTTCTTAGTTATTGGTGTAAGATAAATTAGAATGATAAAGGCTAAATTATTCATCATTAATAATTACTTGATTTAATCTATTAAATGGTTCATTTTATCTCAAAGGGATTAATGTTTGAATCTTATGAAATACTAGTGTATGTTTGGTCACTATGAATCTCTTTATCTGGAGACTACATCTCCTTTCAAACTTGAGCTATTTTATTGAGTTCCTTAGAATGTTCTATTGAGCCTCTACGTATTTTCTATTCATCCACATGTATTGTATTTAGTTACATCTATGTTTTTGTTTAAAGGTCAAACAAGTGGGTTACTTCAGCGCTATAACACTTGGTATTCGAATATTGGCTCGAGATTATTCATCTATCCCTTCTTACCTTGAGAAGTAAAGGTACCTTATGTTGTATGTGGCAATAGGACGGGGCGGCCCTTCCCATTTACACCCTTGTTGGGAATACTCAAGAGATTAAAATAAACTTGTCTATTATCTCTTTTAATTATTTAATTATTTTTTATTTTTTTAAATATAAAAATAAAAATAAAAATACAATAAATAGATTCTAGGTGAGGTGAGGAATTAGAGGCAAGAGCAGGTTACCAGTTCCCATACTCCA